CTTCCTAGGCCATTTCCTCGCCTTCCATAGACATGAACTTGATGGAGCATTTGAACTTAACCCTGCAGGGCAAAACTCGGGGTTTTAGTGCGCTGAGACCTGGCGGCCAAACCCCAGGCATTTAATCACATGGCTGCAGAGAACGCTCCAGCAAGGCACGCGCTGCACAGACAATTATCTCAGGAAAGCCACAGAAGCCCTCTTCGCGATGCTTGCTTCTCTTTTAGAATTCAATATTTCATGTGTTGGAAGAAGTCTTGTTTGCTTCAAAGGACACGCTGGAGGCACAGGCCGGAGATGCTAATCATGCGGACGGGCTGCTTTGTTTGTGCATAAATGAGAATCTATGGGGGAGTTCCAGCCTAATTGCTTGGGGGACCTGAGCCCGTGGGAGGATAGGCAGAGACATTTGTGCTCCTGTTCGTTGTTCAGTTTTGAAAGAACTGGATTTGTTCTGAAAGGAGGCTAAGCAATGGTGCTTTTTTTCAGAGAGCAGGGGAAGCCTTTTGTGGCTGTTTTTCGTGGCTGAGTCTGGTGGACTAAGCCTGTGATACCAGTACCTGGATACAGGAAGAGTACAAGAGGACCAGCCTGGGCCAGTTTAGTGAGATTCAGCAGCTAAGAGCACTGGCTTCTCTTCCAGAGGACCTAGGTTCAATTCCCAGCACCCACACGGCAGCCCACAGCTACAACAGTTCCATGGGATCCTGTGTCCTCTGCTGGTCTCTCTGGGCATGCATGTGGTACACAGACACACATGGAGGCAGAGCACAGGCCGCCACACTGGGCTTTATGAGGTGTAGTATGCAGGCACCCTTGAAACTAATTTGGTGTGACATAGTTTTGTTTATTGGAGGCATTTGTGGGGAGAGGAAAAAAATGAGCCCATGGACCCAGAGTTGATGCCCCAGATGCTGCAGCCCAGGCCTCCTGGCTCGCTGAGATATTCTAGAAAACTAGCCATGGTGGCCCTTGCCTGTCATTCCAGAACTCCAGAGGGGAAGTATCAGACCCAGGTCATCCTTAGCTACATAGTGCACTAGAGGCCAGCCTGGGCTACACGAAGTTCTGTCTCAAAGCGAACAAAACAAAACAAAATCAAGGGTTCTCCCACAGGTAGATGGGGTGGTGCCAAACACCTTTAATCCTAGCAGGAGAGGCAGAGGCAGTTGGATTTCTGTGAGTTTGAGGCCAGCACAAAGCCAGTTCCAGGATAGCTAAGAAGGCTAACATAGAGAAATCCAAAGCAAGCCAACAACAACAACAACAACAACAACAACAACAACAACAAAACAAAAGCATTTAGAGTCCTCCCACAGTGGTCTGGAGGCTTGAATCAGTGATTAAAGAGCACTGGCTGTTGTTCTTCTAAAAGGCCCTGGTTTGATTCCCAGCATCCACACAGCAGCTCACAACTGTCTGTAACTGCAGCATCAGGGAACTGAAGACATATACATGCAGGCAAAACACCCTACACATAAAACAAAATCAAACAAGAGTTCTTGCACAGCAGAGGCACGGCTCACTAGGACCTGGGGTGAGGAACTTAGGAGTGTCTTTTCTGAGTACAGACAGAGTGGACTGTGACAGCCTCGGGGGGGTCCTAGGTGGGGCTCTGGGACCCTGCATCTTCCTTTAAGTTTTTATTAGCATGTTGTACATAACAATGGTCATGACAGTTTCATAACACACAATGTTCTTTACTCATATTCATCCCACCACCTTTCTTGTCCCCTCCCACTCCTGCCAACTCCTCCCTCCCAACCAGCACCTACTTCTACTTTCATGATGCGTGCGTGCGTGAGAAAGAGAGAGAGAGAGAGAGAGAGAGAGAGAGAGAGAGACCCAGTGAGTTTCATGGGGGTTGCTTACAGAGCGTGGATGAGGAGCTGTTCACAGGGCCGTGTGCCCCTTACCGCTGGGGAATGGCTCCTCCTCTCCTGTTTATTCAGGCAGAGTGTTGAGCTCCCTTCCCCCAGCCACCATTAACTGCCTACCAACCCTTAGAGATGGCTGTGGCCTCCTTAGCCTCTCCCTCGGCTGCCATTAACTACCTATCGACCCTCAGGGAGGTGACTTCAGTGACTTCTGATGCATGAGCCTTGGCTCTGCCTAATTCTAAATGTAAGGAAGAGGAAGAAGGTTGTAGATGAGCCGGCTCAGAGGGTAAAGACACTTGTCACCAAACCTGACTACTGAGTTCCATCCCCGGGAACCACACTGTAGATATGGAGTTGCCCTCTGGCTTGCATATGCACTCCGTGGCACACGCTTGTCCACACATGCACACTGCACACTCACACCACATGCACACTGCACACTCACACCACATGCACACTGCACACTCACACCACATGCACACTGCACACTCACACCACATGCACACTCACACCACATGCACACTGCACACTCACACCACATGCACACTCACACCACATGCACACTGCACACTCACACCACATGCACACTCACACCACATGCACACTGCACACTCACACCACATGCACACTCACACCACATGCACACTGCACACTCACACCACATGCACACTGCACACTCACACCACATGCACACTGCACACTCACACTATGAATAAATAAATGTGACTTGTAAAGCCAAACGAAAAAGGGAGGAGAGTCCGGTCAAGGAGGGTCACGTGGGCTTGTACGGCAGGGAGTAGACACACACAGCGTGACTCATTACCGTGGTCTGTGAATGGGTTATTTTTCTTACAAATTAGTGAGGAGCAGAGCTCACTGTGTATGAGCTCCTTTCCTCACATTTCAATAAAGAAACTGGTTGAGTGGGAAGAGAAGGAAGTGTGCAGCGGGAGTCCCCACGACTGCTCCGGCCTCAGCTCCTGGGCAGTGCCTCTGTTTGGGATCAGCAGCAGCCATGCAAATGACGGGTTTTATATTGCTTGCCTCTCCGAAAACACTCGTGATGTCTATAGTGTGTCTATAGGTTGGGCCAGGCTTGGTGGACAGAGTGCTTGCCCAGCATGTACAAAGTCTGGGTTCCTTCCTTAGCGCTGCACAAACCGAGTGAGCATGGAGCACATGAGTGTCTGCCTGCAGCTCATGAGGTGGAGGCAGGAGGATCAGGATTTCACCATCATCCTTGGCTACGATAGGGGGTTCGAGGCCAGCGTGGGCTACATGAGCGCCTGTCTCAAAACAAAAACAAACATGCTAACTAGGACCAGACTCCTCCACTTCTCAAATCATGGTCACTACTCACTGCCATTTGCCTAAACCTGAGCAGCCTCTGGGCTGGACTCCTCAGCGAGTCCCTCTTCTGCTTAGACCCCTCCATGACTACCATGACACTCAGACCGGAAACCAACTCCTTTGCTGCTCCTCCTGCCTGGAGCACTTTCCATATACATGATGTCTCCCCATCTTCCAGTCTGCACTCAAATGACACCTGAAGTCACACGCTGAAGGGCGCCTGCTTCCCCCACATCCTTTTTTCCTTGTATTTCTTCTGTCTGTACTGCTCAACAATTTAAAATATTTGATCTTTGCTTATCTATATCTTTAAATGATTCCTCCAATTTTTAGAATGTGTGTGGGTGTGCACAGGTATATGTAACAGGCACATGGGGGACCAGAGGGCAACCTCAGCATCTTTCCCCAGGAGCCCTGCATCTGTTTCTGAGACAGGCCTTTCCACTAGCCTGGAGCTCACCAAGGAGGCTGAGTTGGCTAGACAGCACAGAGATCCTCCTGTAGCCATGCCCCCAGGACCTGCGCCGCCAGCTGTGGCTTTTTATGTGGCTTCTGGGGATCCAAGCCTGGATCCCCGTGCTAATACAGCAAGCTCTTTATCCACGGAGCCATCTCCTCTGACCCAGATGTCTGCTCTCTAAGAAGCTCCCTCCACCTTTTTAGTTCTGAAACAGGATTTCCTTAAGCACTACCGGGAGATCGCTGCATTGATTCAAACCTGGTGTGGATACAAGATCAGCTTGACCCGCTCCTGCACAGAACTCGTGCCCTTCAGCGGCCTCCCAAGTAGCTGGGCCTACAGGAGCACACCATGCACCAGACTGAAGCAGGGTCTCTCTAAGGAGCTGCAGCAGGCCTCCAACTTATGATCCCCCTGCCTCAGCCCCAGGTGCTGAGTTTACAGGCGTGCAGTACCACATCTAGCTCAAGGTTACCACTTTTTAAAAACGGTGGCTGTTCTTAGGTCCCTTTGCACACTGAGGGTTACAGCGCTGAACGTTTCCCTTTCTGGGCTGGGGCTCAGTGGGCAGAAGGCTGGCCTGTTATGCAGGAGCACCTACTAAACAAGGGTGGTGGTGCGTTCCTGTAATCCCAGCACTCCATAGGGTGAGGCAAGTGGGCCACAAATTCAAGGTCACCTTCAGCCACACAGTTAGTTCAAGGCCAGCCTGGGCTTCCTGAGACACAACACGCATATGGCAGTCCAAAGACAATCTGGATTTCAGTCCCCGCTGCCCACCTTGTTTGAGACAGTGTATTGTTCGTCCCTGTATATGCCAGGGTATAAGGTCCAAAGCTTCCAGGGATTCTCCTGTCTGCATCTTCCACCTTGATGTAGTAATGTTAAGATTACAGACACGCTCTACCGTGTCTAGTTTCTGTGGGTTGTAGGGACCCAAACCCAGGTCCTCACAGTTGTATTTACCTCTTGAGCCATCTCCCCTACCTCTCTTTGTTTGTATATGTGCATGTGTGTGTGGAGATCAGAGGAAGACCTCAGCCGGTGATGTTCCTTAGGTACTTCCCACCTTCTGTTTGAGGCAGAGCCTCTCATTGGCCTACAGAGTTGTCCAGTTGTCCAGTATGGTCAGCAAGCTTCCAGGGACCAGCCAGTCTCTGTTCCTGGCTTTTTTCATGGACTCTTGACATCTGAACTCAGGTCCTCAGCATGCAAAGCCATCTCCCTGGCAAAAGGCTTCTGTCCTTCCCAGCAAGATGGAGGGGTCCTCTTTGTGTTCCTCCTCTCTGACTACAGCCTTTTGTCTGCAGACTCTCTTCCAGAGTCCAGAAGAGGGCTGGCAGCTCTACACCTCTGCCCAGGCACCCGATGGCAAATGCATCTGCACGGCTGTGATCCCGGCACAGAGCACCTGCGCCCGAGACGGTCGGAGCAGAGAGCTTCGGCAGCTCATGGAGAAGGTAGGGACCTGATGGGAGCTGAGGGGAGAGTGGGGAGGTAGGGACCTGATGGGGACAGAGGGGAGGTAGGGACTTGACGGGAGCCGAGGGGACAGTGGGGAGGCTGAGATGGTCTCTTGCATCTCCATCTAGGCTGAACCACAGCAGATCCAGCCAGGTGGATTGTTCTAAAGTGGCCAATGACTGGGATCCCATCTATGTAGACTTTGTATTTGTTTTTCTTTTTTCTTTGATTTTTATTAAATATTCTTTATTCATTTATTTTTGAGACAGGGTTTCTCTATGTAGCCCTGGTTATCCTGGAACTTACTCTGTAGACCAGACTGGCCTCCAGCTCAGAGATCCAATTGCTTCTGCTCCCCAAATTCCAGCTCTTAGGGAGCAGGGAGTGTCATGGGCAGCATTAAGTTCCTTGTGCTCTCAGGCCTGGCAGCCTTGGGTCACCATGCTAAAGAAGGTGCTTGGTGTCCTTTTCCAGTGAGGGTCTAACCTGTACTGCCAAGGCTCAGCAAAGATTCTGCAGTTGGGAGTGGCGGTGCACACATGTAATACCAGAGCTTTGTAGGCCCAGGCACAATGACTGCCACAAATTTGAGTCCAGCTTTGGCTACATAGGAAGATACTGCTGGGTGGGAGGCTGGGAAGGGTGGTAAGTTGCCACCAAGCCTGATGACCTGAGGTCCCACATGGTTAGAAGAGAGAATGAACTCCCACAAGGTGTACTCTGACACACACCAAACAAACAAACAAATGTAATTTTAAAATACTTTAAAGGGGAGAGATAGGCTAGGGATATGGCTCAGTGGGTCATATGGGTAACATGGACCTGAGTTCACATACCCAGTTCCTACATAAAAGCTAGGCCTGGCAGTGTATGTCTGTAACCCTGGAGCTAGGAAGGCAGAGAGACAGGCACAGCTGGGAACTTGAACCAGTCTGGCTGAAGTATGAGCTTGGGGACCCTGTCTCAAAAAATAGGTGGAGGGTGATTGTGGAAAACAACCAACATCAGTCTCTGGCCTCCAGACACACTTATGCAGATATGTATGCACACAAAACCACATACACACAGACATGTATGCACACACTCATAAACACACTTAGATATACAGATATCTACACACATGCACGCACACACACATACATACACATGCACACGCGAGACTCCTTTTCACCCTGGCTGCCTCCACTTCATGTGTCCCCAGGATGTTTTGGACTCTTTGTTTGCTGACTAAAGTCCCTGCCACTGTCCATTCGTCAGCTGTGATGCCTGCAACCCCCACTGTACAGGGGAGGAAGCTGAGATTTGGCAGAGAGGATCCACCTGCGCACCTGCAGCCCCTGCCACTGGCTCCCAGAATCCTACTCTGCCCCAGAGCTGTGGACTCTCATGCCATGCCTTTGATTGTTCATAGTGGCTGAAAAAAAAATAGTTTTTGGCATGACTGGTGTGTGCCTCAGGGTCTTGTATAGCTTAGGGCAATGGTTATTAACTTGTGGGTCTCGATGCTTTTGGGGGGTGTTAAATGACCCTTTCACAGGGGTCTCCTGAGACCATCAGAAAACACAGATATTTACATTATGAATCATAACAGTAGCAAAATTACAGTTATGAAGTAGCAATGAAAATAATTTTATGTTTGGGGGAGTCACCGCAACATGAGAAATTGTACTAAAGGGTCATAGCCTTAGGAAGGTTGAGACCCACCGGCCTAGGCTGCTCTTGAACTCACTAGGTATACAATGATGACCTTGGACTTCTCATCCTCCTGGCTCCATTTCCCAGTGGTTTGTCTTACAGGAATGTACCACTACACCCAATTTATGCTGCATCCCAGGGCTCTGTGTACATAGGCAAGGCCTGAGTCACAGCCCCAGTACCCTCTCAACTCTACCGTTTGTTCGTTTGTTTTTTATTAGAAGCAAGGTTTCATACTGACCCAGACTGACTTGAGATTCATTCTGTAGCCTTGGCTGACCTGGAACTCAAAGCAATCCTCTTGCTTTAGTTTCCTGAGTGCTGGGATTGCAAATGTGACCCACCACTCCTGGCTCCTTTTGAGGCTACCCTTGAAATTCTGATTCTTTGGCCTCTACCTCCAAGTGCTGGGATAATAGATGTGTGCCACTACATTTGGTTCTGATCTTCATTTTGGAAAACACCCTCTGCTTTGCTGTGTGGTGAACTTACTGCAGGTCAGGAGGTGACAGGTATGAAGGGATGGGACTGGATGGAACCTGCTATTGGAAGGTTACTGGTGAGACCAGGGGAAAGGAGGGCTGCCAGGCATCTTTGCTGGTCCTGCTTGCCTCTGCTTCTGTGGATGGCTGGGAGGAGGACTTTGACTCCAGAATGGTTCTCATTCTAGGTCCAGAATGTGTCTCAGTCCATGGAGGTCCTAGAATTAAGGACATATCGGGATCTCCAGTATGTTCGCAGCATGGAAACGCTCATGCGGAGCCTGGATGCAAGGCTCAGGGCAGCTGATGGGTCAGTCTCGGCTAAAAGCTTCCAGGTGGGTTCTTCGGAGTTCGGCTCTGAGTTCCAAGTATGGGGTCCTGTCTGGGAAGACATGAGGGGATGACTAGGCTCTGGGGTCCTGAGGGCATCCTTTGGCAAGGGCTGGGCATCTGAGATGACAGGGTGAAGGTATGGGCCAAGGGCCAGGGTTTGGGATCGGAGGTCATTTTCTCCCGGTAAGCAGGAACTGAAGGACAGGATGACGGAGCTGCTGCCCCTGAGCTCGGTGCTGGAGCAGTACAAGGCAGACACGCGGACCATTGTGCGCCTGCGGGAGGAAGTGAGGAACCTTTCTGGCAACCTGGCTGCCATCCAGGAGGAAATGGGAGCCTATGGGTACGAGGACCTGCAGCAACGCGTCATGGCCCTGGAGGCACGACTCCACGCCTGCGCACAGAAGCTGGGTATGCCTTGACCTCAAAGCTTGGCCCCTGAGCCCCGCACCCCTTAATACTACCTGTGTGCTCCAAAGCTAGGTGTGGTTTAGCATCTAACTGCTAAACCTCCCTGTTGGGTATCCCCAACCCAAGACCACACCGGACCCCAAAGCTGGAGGTGGTTTTTGCTCTTGATCTCCAGCCCTTTATGCCCATGTTGACATCCTAGGATCATCCCCTGGAATCTCCTCCCTGACCCTTGGCCCCAGCACTTCCCAGTGCAAACAGTGTCCTGCCTCCCATGAGCTCTTGCTGCATCCTCTCCTCACTCCCACTGTTCCCATCTCCCAGGCTGTGGGAAGCTGACAGGGGTCAGTAACCCCATTACCATTCGGGCCATGGGGTCCCGATTCGGCTCCTGGATGACGGACACAATGGCCCCCAGTGCAGACAGTCGGGTGAGTGATCCTATCCCCAGGGGCCAGAGCCAGTTACTGCCTACGGGTGCCCAGAGAATCCACACTTGTGACTCTTATTTAGGTTTTATTTTTATTCATTTTATTTGTGGGTGTACACGGGGCAGGAGTGGTAGGGTGCATGATTGCAGTGCTATTGAAAGCCAGAAAAGGGCATTGGGTATCCCTAGAGCTGGAGGTGTCTGTGGGCCAGCTGATATGAGTGCTGGGAATTTAACTCAGGTCCTCTGCAAGATGAGTAAGTAATCTTAACTGTTGGCTTTTTTTTTTCTTTTCCTTTTTCTTTTGAGACAAGGTCTCCCTCTGTAGAGCAGGCTGACCTCAAACACTGAGGTCTGCCCATGTCTGCTTTTTGAGAGCTGAGATCAAGGGGGCACATTCTGAGAACTGCACGCTTATGCAATCTTGTCGTGGTGCAGACATTAGAGTACTTACACAGCTGAAGATGGCATGGGGGTCATGGAGGGAGACAGCATAGTGGACAAGAATGCTTGCTGCACAAACATGAGGACCTGAGTTCGAACCCTCAGTACCCACATAAAAAGTCATGAGTGGCAGGTGTACCAGTTCTGTGGGGAGCAGAGACGGAAGGCTCACTGGGGCTCACTGGCCACCAGCTCTAGGTTCAGTTAGAGTCCCTATCTCAAAGAAGGTGGAGAGTGATACAGAGGGACACCAGTGTCCTCCCCAGGTCCCAGTCTGTGTCATTTCTGTAGTTGATAAAGCACTCTGACAAAAAGCAAATTAGGGAAGAAAGGGGCTTAGTTTAGCTTACAGTTCCAGGTTACAGTCTATCTTTGTAGAGAAGTCAGAGCAGGAACTTAAAACAGCTAGTCGTCACCCCACAATCATGGCCAGGATCAGAGAGAAATGCATGCATGCATCTTGCTCGTTTGTGCTCAGCTTAACCTCTCCATTCTCATAAAGTTCAGGGCTCCTTGTCTAATAAGCCATGTTGCCCACAATGGGCTGGGTCTTCCCACTTTAATGAACAATAAAGACAGTCCCCTAAAGTCATGCGCACAGGCCAACTCAGTGTAGACAATCTCTCACTGACACTCACTTCCTAGGTTTTTTCAAGCTGACATTAAAGCTAAGCATCATGAACTGGAGAGATGGCTCAGTGGTTAAGAGCACCGGCTGCTCCTGTAGAGGTCCTGAGTTCAATTCCCAGCATCCATGTGGTGGCTTTCAACCATCTATAAAGGAATCTGATGCCCCTTCTGGCATGCAGGTGCACATGTAGGTAGAACACGCATACATAAAATACATATAAATAAATCTTTTTTTTTTTTTTTGATTTTTCGAGACAAGGTTTCTATGTGGTTTTGGAGCCTGTCCTGGAACTAGCTCTTGTAGACCAGGCTGGTCTCGAACTCACAGAGATCCGCCTGCCTCTGCCTCCCGAGTGCTGGGATTAAAGACGTGCGCCACCACCGCCCGGCCATATAAATAAATCTTAAAGAGCTAGCCATCACAAGGGTGGTCAAGTGTCACAGAGCACAGGCAGTAACTCAACACCTCTCCACTGTGATCACTGACCTCGACTGATGACGATGGTCCCACCAGTTGGTTAGCTTGGAATCAGATTTGCACTTATCTAGTCCTGTGCGTTCTTAGGCAGGGACACCTGGGCAAGAACCTCAATATCATTCCTCTAATTAACTTATCCTCAATGTGGTCCCTCAATAATGGACCTGAGCTGGATAATGAGGGCACCCATGAGTGCTTTTTAGCGTGGTGCTGATAATGGTGCCGCTGAGAGATTCAGTGGCATGCCAGGCGACCTTGTGTTTACAGAACTTAGCCACTGACAATGGATTTGGGCCAGGCATGATGGCATGGCCCTTAATCCCAGCACTTGGGAGGGAGAGGATCTGTGAGCTCAAGGTCAGCCTGACAGACATAGTGAGTTTCAGACCAGCTTGGGCTACATAGTAAGACCCTATCTCAAAAAACAAAATAAAACAAAACAAGAACAAACAACTCCCAACCATACAAAATAGTGACCTCAAAGTGATCCCTTATTATCCAAACACGTTACTTGGTGAGTACTCTCAGCCCAGTCTCCAGTGACCCCCATGAGTCTCCTGGGTGCACAATGCTGCCTGATCCTTCGATGATCCTTCACCACCACTCACTGAGGATCTTTTTGTTGTGTGTTTATAAAGGTGTGTGCACAGGTAGGTGTGTACCAATGCATGTGAAGGCCAAGGTCAACAAGAGATGTTTTCTCTATTGCCTCCACTTTGTCTCTTTTTCCTTTTGTGTGAGTGTGTGTGTGTGTTGTACACATTTGTGTGCAGGTGTGTGTGAACTCACCAGAGGAGGCTATCAGGTGCCCTGTTCTCTGTTCTTGGTCTTAGTCCCTAGCCACAGACTCTCTCACCAAATCTGGAGCTAGGCTAGCAACCAACAAGCCCCAGAGAGCCTCGTCTCTGCTCTCAAAAGCACTGGGGTTACAGGAACATGTAGCCATGCCAAGATTTTCAGATGGGTTCTGGGTTCCAACTTAATCTTCATGTTTGCAAAGCAGGTTGATTTCCCCACTGACTCATCTTCCTGACCCCTCCACTGTCCCCCTTCCCCCATCCAGTCAGGATTTCTTTAAAAACTTGCAGCCCATCAATATGGCTGTGCCTGCTGGTCAATGAGCTCCAAAGATCTGTCCCTGACTCTCCCAGCACTGAGGTTACAGCTATGTGCATCACTATGTCCAGCTCTTTTGGGGATCCGAACTCAGGTTCTCATGCTTGAGTGGCAAGCACTTTACCCCCTGAACTGCCTTCCCAGGCCCATTAATGCTCACAACCACCAAACTATAACCAGTCACAAAGGTCCTAGGAAGGACTGTGACTGAGTAGTGACACACAGGTGATGGTTGTTTGCTGATGATCAAGGTTGATCTTGGCCAGTCCCTGAGGGACACAGGTTGCAGTCTCTCCAGTGACTGGCTACTGCTCTCGTAGGTCTGGTACATGGATGGCTATTACAAAGGCCGCCGAGTGCTGGAGTTCCGTACTCTGGGAGACTTCATCAAAGGCCAGAACTTCATCCAGCACCTGCTGCCACAGCCGTGGGCAGGTACGGGCCATGTGGTGTACAACGGCTCTCTGTTCTACAACAAGTACCAGAGCAATGTGGTGGTCAAGTACCACTTCCGGTCGCGCTCCGTGTTGGTGCAGAGGAGCCTCCCTGGGGCTGGCTACAACAACACTTTCCCCTATTCCTGGGGTGGCTTCTCGGACATGGACTTCATGGTAGACGAGAGTGGGCTGTGGGCTGTGTACACTACTAACCAGAATGCGGGCAACATCGTTGTCAGTCGGCTGGACCCTCACACCCTGGAGGTCGTGAGGTCCTGGGACACCGGGTACCCCAAGCGCAGTGCCGGGGAGGCCTTCATGATCTGCGGCGTCCTCTATGTGACCAACTCTCACCTGGCCGGAGCCAAGGTCTACTTTGCCTACTTCACCAACACATCCAGCTACGAGTACACGGATGTGCCCTTCCACAACCAGTACTCGCACATTTCCATGCTGGATTATAACCCCAGGGAGCGGGCCCTGTATACCTGGAACAACGGGCACCAGGTGCTGTACAACGTCACCCTCTTCCACGTCATCAGCACTGCCGGGGACCCCTAGGCGTCCCTGCAAAAGCTGTGGGGATCCTTCCCACATTGCTTGTGACCCCCTCAACCTTCTCCTGGCCATGCCCTTCCTTTCCTAGATTCCTTCTCTCTCCACCTTCCCAGCCCAGCTTTCTGTTCTCTGTATCTCTGTGCTTTTTCTCCATTTTATTGATCTTTTGATACTTCACTTCTGAGTCTTTCTGACTTTTTTTGGATGCTTCTCTTCCTTATGACCAAACCCCTCTCCTCTCCCTCAGCCCACTCTCCATCCTTCCCTCCCTTCCTTGTTTCCCACACATTCCTTATCCCTCCCTCCCTCCCTCTGGATCTGAGTGCATGGATTTTTTTTTTATTTATTTACAATTTTCTTTCCGGGTTGCCAGAATAAACCGGACCTTTGACATTTGATGCCTGGGTTGCTCTGTACCCAGTGGTGGTTCGAGGAGACTTGACTCCACTGACTCTTTTTATCCCATGCTTAGAGAGGACCTGAGGTGGGATCCTGTAACGCTCCTCCCCCAAGAGAAGCCCACCCAATCAATCCAAAGGTGTTTCAGCCAAAAGCAATTCATTTAAAAGCAGTTGGGATCAGAACAGAACCCTATTATGATGATGAAAACTGGTCTTAAATGCGTATTCCCTGGTTGCTGGCTCATTCATTGATCTCGGTAGCGCATCACTGGGCTGTCTGATGATGTTCTAATGGCTTTTTAATAATTTGGCTGCTTGAGAAACCCTGTCTCGAAAATCAAAAAAAAAAAAATTGGCTGCTTTTGAGAGAGGTGAGGCCCCTCAATTTCTTCTGTGCTTTGTAATTGTGGAAATCGCTTCTACACAAGCCATGCTAGTTAATAGCAAGATTCAAAGTAACTTAAAAGGTGCACAGAGCCAGGTTTTGGACAAACCCACTGCATTCCACCTAAGAATTCTTTTGCCTATAACAGGCTGGGACAGAGTCCTGGGAGGTGGATAGGCTAAAATGGAGGTGTCAGGATTCCTCCTTAGGTAACCTCCTGGACCTAGCAATTATTTCTCATTCTTCCTTAATAAATCTATTCACCATGTTAAAAAAAAAAAAGCAACAGAAAACAGGAAAAGGGAGGTAGCAGGACAGGGCTAGACAGCCAGAGGCCTGGTGCTCCTGAGCTGCTCGAAGGCAGGCCTGGTGGCAGCAGCGCTGGAATAAGATAAAGGATTAATTAGGAAACGGGTCCATGCAGCACAGGATGCCCTTTTGTAGCTAAAAATGACCTGGGGTTTCTGAGTCTCCTGCTGCTTCCTCCACCACCATACCTGGTTTATATGGTGCTGAGGATGGAGCCCTGGGCTTCATTCACGCCAGGCAAACGCTCTGCCAACTGAGTCATAGCATGATGAGGGCTTCAGTGTCAACCAGATCTGCCTGTGGGAGGGCAGAGCAGTGGTTCTCAACCTGTGACTCTCTATCCCTTGCCAAACCTCCACCTCCAAAAATATTTAAGGTTTAGAACAATGGCAAAAGAAGTTATGAAGGAGCAATGAAAATAATTTTACAATTGGGGGTCCCCACCACGTGAGGAGTTGTATGAAAGGGCAGGTTAGGAAGTTGAGAACCACTGGGCTAGAGGGATGAGTCGGCAGAGCAGGGACGTCTGGAAGGGCAGTGATACATGCTGCCTTCCCATCCCCCATGTCAGGCCCTGAACCCAGAGCAGGAACAGCATGTGATGATCTCCAGTGGTCCTGACCCCACCCTGCTGAGGCCACCAGGAGGCTGCTGTCCCCATCTCTAATTAATGACCTCTGTGATTAAATCATCTCCGGGAACTTGGACTTGGATGCCATACTGGGAAGGAAACCCATGAATAATGAATGGGGCTGCCTAATGCACTCATTTAAAACCAATTTCTAAAGGCATCCTCACGAAGAGCAATTCATTCCCACGTAAATTAATAAGCATGACACGGGGGTGGGGGGTGGGATGGGTAAGGTCCCGGATTAGCATGGGAGACAGACTAAAAACAGCAGAGGCTTGGTATGAAGGAACCAACTAGTCATCCCAGTTCTCGGGAGGCTAATGTCACCTGGGTGAGCCCTTGTTTCAAAATCCCCCAAAAAATTGAGTTTGTATGCTTCCTGCCTGTAACTTGTGCTCAAGGAGGTCATGGTCTCAGATATGGAGATGTAGTTGCAACCATTAAGGCTGTGGAGTTCTAGCCTTTGCAGAGTACACCTGTGCCTGAAGACATGTTCCCACAAGGACGAGTCTGATGCGAACAGATCTGTCTCGTGTGGGCAAGGAGTGTTTACTTGGGCCAGAGCACCTGGCAGCACATCTACCCACTGCATCACTTACACACATGCACACCCACTGTATACACATGTAAACACTTGAATGCACATGTATGTGCACACATACACACAAAGGATGAGAAAGCAGTCCTACCCTCCTCGCTCATTCATCACAGCCAGATTCATTTGTGTCTGTCTTCCGTGGTGCTGAATTAACCAACTTTCCCTAAATCATAGATGAGCATTTGGCTGCAGTCAGGAAGCTGCCATTCCCTACTGCAACAATAACCCAGAATCCCCAGTGTCTGCTCTAAGAAGAGCCCATTAAGAATGAGGAGTGGACACCTTACTAGATCTGGATGGAGGTGGGTGGTCCTTGGACTTCCCACAGGGCAGGGAACCCCATCGCTCTTTGGGCTGATGAGGGAGGGGGACTGGATTGGGGGAGGGGCAGGGAAATGGGAGGCGGTGGCGGGGAAGAGACAGAAATCTTTAATAAATAAATAAATTTAAAAAAATTAAAAAAAAAAGAATGAGCAGTGGAGTCTGCACAAAGACAAGTTTCAATCCCAATAGGGGGTGGGGAGAGGGGAGAGAGGGAAGGAGGGGTGCTAACTGTTGTCATCCTAAAGGCCCAGGATTTATTGCCAGTTCCCTAGCAGGCCTGGGTGGGAACTTGGAGCAGGTGAGGAAAACCACAGGTAGTTAATAATACATGTGGGGACACTGAGCGGGCTCCCGGGGCCCATTTGTCTAACAGCCATGTTCAGTCTTGGGTTTTCACCACTATACAGAGACAAGGGAAGGGGTTGGCTGGGGTCCAAAAGGACAGACCCCACATGGAGGGTCAGGGTCATAGAGAACACAGATACCAAGTCACATGGCCATATACGGGATGCACAAATTACCACTGTGGTAATGCCTGCTTCTCACAGGTAGTGGTTCAGATGTGGCAGCAGACTTGGCGAGATCCTTCCAGAGCTCTTGATATTCCAAGCCGGGATAGGGGTCCTCTCCTCCCCGACAAAGGCGCCATCATACTTGGAGGGGTTCCACTGCCTCCTGAGCCCACCCAACTGTTACAAGACAGTAAAGCTGTGACTGCCTTGAGAACCCACTGGCCCACAGGAGAATGTTTTGCTGGAGGTGCCTGCCTGAGCTGGGAAGAAACTCGTTAAACCTTCCTAATGACAAATGCTCCAGCAGGCAGCTGGCAAAGAGCGACTGCTATAGAAAGCAGCCAGATGGGAGCTCAGGTGACTTCAGAAGACTCAGGCCTGTGGGGAGGGAGGGCTCCCTTGAGGTCCAGGCTTAATATTGCTTTGGTCTCCAAGCCTTACTGGTTGCAGCCACCCCCACCAACCAGGCTGGCCCCATCACTTGTAGGTTAGACAGAAACCTTATTGAATTCTGAGCCCTCAGGCCAAGCTAGGCTCAGGGGCAGTCTTAGGAGACATGGGCCCCATAGCCAAGGTGGGGGAGCCCGTTCCTTCTTCTCCCAGCTGCCACTCAAAGCAACATCCATTCCCCAGTTCCCTCTACCAGGATCCCTGTTCTTCTGGGAACTGACAAAGCCCCCCTTTACTCCAGTCGAAGGGGCCTCTGTTGCCATGGAAACAGCATCTGGAGGGTGCTAGGTCTGGTGGCTGAACCTAGGAATAACCAGCCAGAAGTGGGTGGCAGATGCTAGATGCAATATGTTCTCACCAGTAGGCAATCTCTATGTGTGCTGGGGATGGGGTGTGCCAAGGCAGGTGTTGAGCCAGGTTGCCCCAGGATCTCTCCAGATCTACCAGATGGAAGTGGGGTGTACAAGGGTGGTCTGTGGTCCTTGAACAGTCTCCAGGGGAGCTGGCATAACTGGGTCTGGACTGGTGGGGCCCAGAGGTATCTTGCTGCCCTGGAAGTCTATCTAGTGGGAAAAATTCTTGCCATCACCCCCAGGCCCTGGAAAAGGTAGCTTCTTAGGACTGGAAAACAGTTTGGACACCTGGGCTTGGGGCATGGTGAATGACAGTTCCCTTCTTGAGACAGGGCCTCACACCTCACCGCGAAGGTAATGAGATACAAGACCACCAGCCAGTGGTTCCAGATTTAATGGAGGTGCATGGGCGCTGCATCACACCCGAGGCTGAGGTGCTGCATCGCCAGGTGTGCAGCGTCTGCTTTTTGCAACTGAACAGAGGAACAGAGCATAAAACTAACAAGAAACAAGGCCCTCCTGCCTGCCTCTGAGACCTGGGTGTCAGGTCACCTTTGACCCCCTGAGCCTGGGGCTTCCATACCCCCACTGACCTTCTGAAGTTGATTCCTTCAGAAGAAGCCTGGCTAGGACAGCCCCAAATGGGGTCAAACAGGAAGTAGGGAGCTCAGAGTTATTATCTAGAGCCCCTCTCCCAGCCATTTCAGGAACAATAAATACTGTGTGACAGTAGCAGGAAGGGTGTCCATGGGCTGGCTGGCCAGGCGCCTGCCCTCATTCTGTGCGCAGGATGATATGGATGCCCGAATCTGTGAACACTGGCCCACTCATCTCCCCTGTCCGTAGAGCAAACGATGCATCCTCAAACGGTTTCTGCATTTGACCTGTGAGAAACAGCAGAGGCAGTGGGGGTCAGGCACGGGCTGCATGACAGATGGGGCTCCTGCCTGCGCCTAGTCTCAGCACATTCATCACAGGGTTTATGGCCCTGTCGCTGTGTAGTGCTGAGCTGTGGCTCTGGGAAGCCCAAGGACAGCATGAGGGATGGCAGGCAGAGCCGTGCTGTGCTCTTAGACACACTGCATGATGAACTCTGGCTTCCAGCTGAACACAGTCTGTCCTTTCAGGTAGCTTGGGCTGACAGCAGAGGGCCTCACTAAGCTCCCTCTCCCAGGCAGGTGCCCAACACCTCACATTCCCAGCCCATGCAAATGAGATGAAGGAGAGAAGTGAGGAGGGAGAGATCCTGATTCCTTCTGCCCTTGGCACACAAGCCTGAGCTCTGGGCTGCCTATCTGGACCTGACCTTGCCCATTTTCCAACACCTGCCAAAGGGGAAAACAGGATTCTGGGTGAGAAGAGGAGTTCTCAGGGATCCCGTCCTATAGCTCTGCCAGTAGATGCCAACGACATTACAGAGTCACCTTGATGGGCCTAGGAAGGGACAATGATCTTGGAGGGAAGATACCAGGGAGAAGGTTTTACATTCCTTTTGCAGCACAAGAAACACAGGCCAGGAAATCTGAGGGCTGTGCTGCCACCTGGTGGACCATGAAGGCAGAGTAGGGTCTCCCTTCCTTTGTGGGCTCAACCACCCCCAACATCATAGGGAAGGGACTGGGTGTGGTTCTTGCCCACCTCTGCTGAAGGCACCAAGGTCTCCCCTGGCTTTGGCAGAGCTGCAGTCGCTGAACTGTGAGGCCAGAGATTCAAAATCTTCTTCTCCTGACTTAATCTTCTGGATGTAGCCTGCAGGGGCACAAGGGGAGAGCAAGCTACTCCTAGGAGCTGGGCCAGTGCATATAAAGATATGCTACTGCCCTCCAATAACAATTCCCACCCCATCATGTCCAAGCAACCAATCCTGTGTCCTTATCATGTGCACCCATGAAGACAGTCTTCCCACATGCACGACATGTCCCCAGGGTGCAAACCTGTCAGTCATCCCCATGCACCGGTGGTCATACTATGACCTTATAGGTGGGCTAGTCACCCATAGATGTACAAGAATAGAAGCACCCCCACACACTCAGTGACCTCTTCTCAGCCCTGGACAAAAACAGAGTTGGAACCTCACAGCGAATGACTGCCCACCCCTGGGCAGTCCTGGGGCAGTCGGTCTCAAGGCTCTGGAGACCGCAGGAGTATGCAGCCAAGCTCTGCACAGAAGCTGGTGGCATCTTCAGCGGTGGACATCAGGAGTCCCTACTCATGCAACACGAGAGGCACAGAAGATACCCTGAGGTGAGGCTGTAAGGGCAGTGTGTGAGAGTCCACACAACTGTTCCACAGGCAAGCCACACAACAGGCGCCACAATTGGCAGAGCCCAGGAAGCATTAAAGCATCTCCACTAGGCCGTGACTCTCCTGCACGGTCAGGAGGTCAGGGCTATGGAGAAGGTGAATGGTGACTGAAGCAGTCTCAAAATAACAAAGTCACATGTCATAAAGGCTGCCTGAGTTCCATCTCCGGAGTCCACAATGGTGGAAAGAAGAACCAACTCCTGTAAGTTGTCGTCTAACCTTCAAACACACTTGCCAACCATCAAAACAAAATAACAAACAACAACAATATGTAAAGGACTGAGGCTCAGGGCAGTGCGACACCATGTCTGTATGACGCATGTCTCAGGAGCTGGGCGCACATGCATGCGGGTGCATGGGAGATTATGTTAAGCACACACAGACACTTGCTAGGTGGGGAGCTGCCAGGCACCTCAATCCAGGCAGTGCCTGAGGTGGACCAAAAAGCCTGTGACACACAAGATCCTCTGTCCCCTACTCCTGCCCAACCTGCAGCCACCACACAGACAGATGCCCAGGGTAGCCACTCTGACCTGAGCAGCCCCCAAAGCTTTCCCAGCTGGCCTGGCAGAGACTCCCCAGGGAACCCTGTCCTTTTATTTCTGAGATAGAGCCTCCTATGCAGCCTGGGCTCTCCCTGAACCCTCAGCTTCTGGAGTGTTGGGGTCATAAGC